AGTAGTAGTAGTAGTAGTAGTAGTAGTAGTAGTAGTAGTAGCAGGAGTAGGAGTAGGAGTAGGAGTAGGAGTAGGAGTAGGAGGAGGAGGAGGAGGAGGAGGAGGAGGAGGAGGGGGATCAGAAGGATGACGACTAGGATAAGGATGGAGTTGGAGATGGAGGACTATGATGTTTATGCTGCTGCTGCTGCTGCTGCTGCTGCTGATGATGATGATGATGATGATGATGATGATGATGATGATGATGATGATGATGATGATGATGAGGGGGAGGAAGAGAAAGGAGGCGAACGAGGGGTGTGTGGTGTGGTGTGGGGTGCGGGGTTAGGAAATAGGGGAACAGGAGAAAGGGAAGGGGGAGGGGAAGAGAGGAAGGGGAGGGCGGGGGGGGGGCCGGAGGGGGATGGGGGCAGGGGGCGGGGGGGCGAAGGGAATGAGGAGGTGAAGGGGGCGAAGGGAGGCGGCATGGAAGGAGGAGGAAGAGGTGGAGGAGGAGGAGGCGAAGCAGGACATGGAGGCGGAATGAGGAGGGGATGGGAGGTGGCGGAAAAGTCCCCTCCATACATATTTTGAGATGCGCACAGGCAAGTGCGATAGTAAGTAGGCGCTTAGTTTTAGGGTGCCAGAGTGGTCGTCGTGTCATGAGCAGGGTTACTGTGTAAGCCGACCCTGGCTTCCGCGTACGCCGATATTGCTGAAGCCGTTTTGGTCTGCAGTGCCCCAGTGCGAAGTTGCCCATCTTACTAATTACTACCCACCACTTACTACCGATGCCCAAGCAGACGCCTAAGAAGCCAGCCGGAGTCAAGGCAAAGCAGGCTGTGCCCTCTTGGGCCCTCAAGTTTGGGGCCTCGACACTTGTTACCGGTGCGGTCATCTATCTGTCGGTGCTCGTGTCGCCGCAGGAGAGCAAGGTGACCGTGCTGAACGACAAGTCGTTCCACAAGTTTCTGGCTGAGCACAAGGACGGCGCGCTGGTCGAGTTCTCCAAGAAGGGGTGCACCTTCTGCACCAAGCTCGCTCCCGCCTACGAGGGAGCGGCGAGGCGATCGGCCGACGAGGGTGGCCCCGCGTTCGCGATCGTGGATTCGGAGGCGTCGCCCAAGGTCATCGAGGCGCTCGGCATAGACAAGTACCCCATGGTGTACTGGTTCTCAAGCAGTGGCGAAGCGTCCTGGCTCGCCTATAGGCCCACTAAAGAATGTTCTAAGAACCTTTCGTGTTCTGCACGAAATGTTCTGAGAGCATGTCTGACTGGGACTGTCTTGTTTGAACACATCGGGCTCATGTTCTAAGAACATTTTTTGTTCTTGGCAGATTGTCGGGTTTCTAAGAAGATGTCGTGGTAGGCCTATCGGAATGCCCGGGCGGTCGGTCCCTGCTCAAGGTTCTGGGGGGGCGAGAACACTTTGGAGCTCGAGCGCGCCGCCGAGAAGACCGCCGACGACATCGTCGACTTCGTGAAGTGGGCGCAGTCGCCGGCCCTCCAGCTGCTGGACACGCGGGCGGAGATGGAGGAGGGGCTGCCACTGTTCCGACAGTCGCTGGCCAAGGACCACAAGCTCATCGTGGCCTACAATCGCACCGACTCCCCTCTGCTCCACGACGTGTTCGAGTATGCAGCTCAGAAACACCGGGCGTCGCACATCCTTTTCCTGTTCGTCCGCGAAGCCGCCGCGGACGGGGCGCTCGCCAGGGCTTACGGGCAGAATGAGTCACTGGACGCGGAGCTCTCGGAGTGGAAGGGCCGCGACGATGTCCTGAGCTGGGTCAAGATTCAGGTGGACGAGGTTGCCCTCAAGGGCCTGGAGAAGAAGATCGAGGTTAACAAGGCGAAGCTGGCGGAGTTGAAGAGGGAGGAGGAGGAGAAGGCCAGCGCGACCTCGGAGCTGTAGCGCGCCGCTCGGTTCGCTAGTCGGCGCTGCGCCGCCCTCTGCGCATGCCCCAGCTGTAATGTCATACAGACCCTGGTCAGGCCAGTCCTGAGCTCAGGATCGGTGTGTACGCCTTCATGGTCAAGCCCCGCCAGAGGATTGGCGCATAATCAGATCATGGGTCCAGAACAGACCGCGGCCAGAACCAGGGTGTATGTTTTGCTGGTGTCGTCTCGCGCTCCGCTCTCTCCTCTCTTTCCCCCCTACCCCCCCCATAGCAGACTTCAGTAAGTTGTGGCTGGCGGTTCGCTTCTCCTCCCCCAGCAGGGGTCGTGACCCAGGCCGAGGAGTGTCGTTTTTCTCCCAGAGTTGTCGGGGCGCGGAGGTACACGCGCGCCGCGCTCGGCGTGGGGTTGCTGGGTATACATCGCAATTCCGACGAGCAGTCTGCATTGGGACGGGTCGTAACCCCGGCCGGGTCCTCGTCCGCGCGATAAGGAGGATGAGCAGGAGGAGGAGGAGGAGGAGGAGGAGGAGGAGGAGGAGGAGGAGGAGGAGGAGGGGGAGGAGGAGGAGGAGGAGGAAGGAGGAGGATGAGGAGGAGGAGGAGGAGGAGGAGGAGGAGGAGGGAGGGAGGATGAGGAGGAGGAGGGGGTGGCGGAGGAGGAGGAGGAGGAGGAGGAGGAGGAGGAGGAGGAGGAAGTAAGAACGCCACATGCGTAAGCGTAATGTCTTGCCAGCGCAAAAGGAGGAGGATCTGGAGGAGGATATGGAGGAGGAGAAGGCGGAGGACGAGGAGGAGGAGTAAGATAAGAAGGAAGAGGATGAGATGGAGAACATGGATGATGAAAGCGCTTGTTTGGGCTCTCCTTGGGCCTCCTGGGGTCTTCCTAGGAGTTTCCTGAGAGCTTCCCAGGGGCTCTTGGAGGCCTCATGGGGCCTCTCGTGGGCATCTTGGGACCTCTTGTGCCGTCTTAGGGGAGTCTTTGCCCGTCTGACGCCTATGGAGGCCGCCCTGGGGGCCTCTCTTGGCCGTGTTGGCGCCCTCTTGGAGCGGTTCACGGCCGCCTTGGGGCCATTTTGGAAGCCCCTTGGGCGATCTTCCCCTCGGGCGATCTTAGGGCCCTCTTGGGCCGTTGTGAGGCCCTCTTGGGCGCCTCTTGGGCTGTCTGGGGGCTATCTTGGAGGCCTCCTGGAGGCCTCTTGGGACGTTTTGGGTTGTCGGAAACCCGACCAAGCGAGTTGGGCGGTCGGAAACCCGAACAAGCGGGAACCTCAACATCCTTCACACACCTTAGGAACATCAATGTTTTTTGTCCGCGTCGGGCTTTCCAGTAATGCCACTTAGAGCTTCTTGGCCTGTCTTGGGGGCCTCTTGGCCCCGTCTTGGGGGTCTCTTGGGCCGTCTTGACGCTGTTCGGAGAGGCTCTTGCTGTCTTGGGCCCATCTTGTCGCTTGAGTGTCGTCTCGGCTGTCTTGGAAGCCATCTTGGATGCCATCTTGGCCGTCTGGAGGCCAAAAAGACCGTCAGAAAGCAATGCCGGAGGGGATTTTTTTTTGGGGGGGGGGTATGCGCTGGCTGGCCAGGGGGAGGGCTGCCCCTATCAAATTCAACAAAAAACCTACAAGACAACAGACGAGCATTCTAACACGCCCACTCCGTGCATGCACGGTGGCTGAAATAACAATACGGACCAGTGATGAACCCCTCCCCGAAGCGGAAGAAGGTGGGGTGGAAGAGGAAGCGCTCAACACCACTCACGCCCAGATGGCTGGTGGGATCCCACGACATCTTCGCTCCTCCTGGAGCTTGTTCGTAGTGCCTTCTGGCCCTTGTACTTGATGGGAGTTCTTTCTTGTGCTTCCATCTCCCAAGTAGTTCCCTCCTTCCCATCCCCTGTTTACCCCTCTCTTCTCTCCTCTCTCCCCTCTAACCCCAGGCCCGTGACGTCGTGCTGCTTTTCGCAGCATGGACCCCTGAAGGTCTCAGCTCTTCCTCTGGGACCGGCTCTTCATCCCGAGCAGCTTTTCGACGGTTTTGGGGCTTGGGCGATGGTCTTTGGAGGTCTAACATGGTAAAAGGCTTAGTCATGCTCTTTCGCACGACGTGATTGGGTCTTGGTCCGAGGGTTCCCCGCTACTCCCTGGGATTTCCCCATGATCAGCTTGTCGTCTTGAGCCGTTGTTTGACCGTCACAGGGCCCAGGAATGACCCCGGCAGCCAGCAAAGTACCAAAAATTCTAGGACCCGTTTCTTCCAGTGACCGTTTTTCTCATGCCGTTCTTGCGAGGATCTCTTACTCTTTCCCCTCTTCCTTCTTGCCTAACCTTCCCTTTCCACATGAGCGACGGAAAACAACGGGGTCGACCGCGCGGATATTCGTGCCTAGGTTTCCCGTGTGAGCTCTCACATAAGCACCCTCTTCTCTACGCGTTGTGCCACGCTGGCGGTCCGCGTGAGTTGCGGCATAAGGTTGCCATGCAATCATGCGCAAGATCTGTTTTTTTCAGTCGCCAACCTGGAGCTGCTGGGGATTTTCCTGACGGCTTGTTTGAAAAGCGCGCCGCGCGTCGCGTCGCGGCCTCACCGCCGAGCGCCCGGGCCCGCGGATGACGCGCGCGCCCTCCTGCGCGCGCGCACATGACGCGCGCGCACCTGCGGCGCGCACGGCGGCGGCCCGGCGGACGGTAACGTGAAATCGGGCTAGTTCCTCTACAGGGGGAATGTTCAAAAATAGTCAACACATAGTCTGGGGACAATTTTGTGTAAAAACTATGTTTGGGTATTTTGTGGGGGTATCGTTGTGATATTTCGTTTGTCCAACATCCACCTGTAGGGGGACATGCCCGACCTAAGGGTAACGCTTGGGGGGAACCCTCGGACCCAGACCCCCTCTTTTGTCATTGGCAACGCTAGTCAAGGGAGGAAAAGCCACCCGGACCCGACAATGGACGTCTGCTGAGCGGCCCCAGGCGTCTACTGAACGGCCCTCGGCCCTGTTCGATTCCCTCTTGGGGTGCGTTTGCGGAACGGCTTCCCTTCTCGGGGTGATCATTATGGGGGTGGATGTTTTGACCTCCAACTCCTCTCGTCCTCCTCCTCGTCCGCCTCCTCATCCTCCTCCACTTTCCTCCTCCTCCTCCTCCTCCTCCTCCTCCTCCTCTTTGGTAGCCATTTCGGCTCCATCAGGGGATTGGGCCGTCCACCTGCTGGAGTTTTGGGAGCATCACAGCATTTGAAGTGGCATTGCTCGCCCGAGCCACACCATGAGCAATGGCACCTGGGACTGCGCCGCGTGCGGCGCGAAGGGGTGTTACCGCAATCGCACGAGGTGCTGGAAGTGCTGGACATGGTACACAGGCGAAGGCGTTCGGCAGCGAAGCCGACCTAGCCACAGCCGCAAGGATGAGGACCAGCAGCCAAGGCCGGATGCAGACGCCCCGACGCAGCGGACCGTGTGTAGGAGGAGGTCCGCGGCCTGGAGGCCCAGAGAGAGCAGACGACACCGCGGTACTTCACTCAGGCGCAATTGGAGCGGGAACGCCGCAAGGCGGAGACGGCCAGGGACCGCATCAAGAAGCGGATCGAGGCCCTCAACGCCAAGGCAGAGGAGATCCAGCAGGAGCTGGCGGAGGAGAAGACCAGGCTCGACAATATGGAATCGCACATCCAATATCTGGAGGCCAAGAGGTCGCAGCTGGAGCAGCACACCGTGCCCGCCTATGCGGAAGGCCAGTGGGGCATGGTGGCGCACCATTTGGACCAGGCGGTGGCGCTGCTACAGGAGCAAACAAATGAGACCACCGACGCGGACCCCAAGGACAAACACAATTACGCCAGGGAGGCCTTGGTGATGGTCAAGCAGAGGCAGCAGGCAGTTGTAGAGGGGGCGGAGAAGACCAAGGCTGAGGCCGACGCCCAGCGGTCGCGCACCTTGTCGCGCAACCGCGGCGCGGACTCGAGCTCAGCCTGGTCGCCATCCTTGCCAGGGCATCGCCCGAGCAGGTCGAGCAGCTCCTCAGCAAGCACTGCGCGGCCGAGCAGGCCGAGAGGCACGCGGCCGCCATGGCATCTGTGGTGAGCGATCTTCTGGATGGTTGCTCCCTGGAGCTGCCCGCGCCGTCATCCTGACGGCCAGCGGCCCAACCAGCAGCACATCATGACGTCCAAGTCCCTGGAGCGCGTGTTGGGGCTCCCGCGTACCAAGGCTGTGGTGCTAGGCCAGGAGCTGTCCATGGGCATGGCCGATTCGGGGGAGTGATCGCAGCGCATGGCTCGAAAAGGATGGAAGATCGCAGCGGTGCCCAGCGTGCGCACTGCGGACGGAGGGTGGGGCGCGGGTGCGGCCATCGCGGTGCCCAAGCACATCGCCATGAGCTTCGTGGGCGGACGCCTGCGGAACTCCTGGGACGCGTCGCCGCCCGAGAGCCCTGGCCGCCTGGCGGTGGCGCGGGTGGACATCGGCGACAGCGGCGGCATCATCGTGGGCTCGTGCTATCTCTGGCATTCGGGGGGCCCCGCGCCCAGGAACCTGGCGGCGCTGGCGGCCTTAGGAATGCCGGCGGACGCCGCGGCCATGCAGCGTGGACCCAGAGCAGCTGTACGAGAGTGCGGTGGTGGACAGACTGAAAGGAGTCACCGTCCGACCGAGCGAGGGCACGCGCAAGGTGCCAAAGGGGGAGACCAGCACCCGCGATTACTTGAACGCGCCGAGGGGGCTGGCGCACGCGGAGTGCGCGACGGTGGAGAAGGACTTGGCCATGCGTGCCAGATGCAGCCCGCATTTCCTTGCCTCATGGTGGCTGGGCAAGCGCGCCCCAGCCTGCAAGGTGCAGTTGGCCGAGATCGTGCGATGGCCGCTGGGTATGCCGCGAGGCTGCGCGGCAGCCCCCGTCGAGTGGCCCAGCGGCCCCGATCTCGAGGGCAGCGCCGAGCAGGAGGAGATCGACGCGCGCTGGGGGGTGGGTGGGTGGGTGGGTGGGGGGGGGGGGGGGCGCTGCGAAGGCCTGCGAGTGCAACCCGAACCGCTGCCGCGGCTTCGCCGACGGCGATCCGGCGCGGAGGCGGACCACTTCCAGACGGAGCAGTTCTGGGAGGTCACGCTGGCGCCCGCGTGCAAGCCACCGAGAGGCGCCCCGGCCGAGAGGGGTTCCACGGCGTCGCGGCTGAGATACAGACCGCAGCAATTGGCGCGCTTGCCCGCGGGCGCGAGCGGAGCGCGGGCCAGCTCCTGCCGCGCGTGGCCAACGCAGCTAAAGCTGTCAAAGGCATACCAGGAGGTCATCGACGCAGACTTCCTGCCGCTGGCAGCTGCCGAGGGGGGGGGGGGGGGGGGCGACCGGCAGGAGGTGAAGCGGGTCATCGCCAGCCTTGGGGGCGCCAACGAGATGCTGGTGGATGGGGTGCCGCGCCAGGAATACTGGGCGCTCGAGGCTGGCGAGGTGCTGGCCGGGGGCGCGGGGCAGCCCTCGCCGAGGCGACGGGGGAGTGGAGGCCGCGGGTCCGGGCGCGCTCGGTGGGCGGAGCGGGGCCGCTGCGCAGTTGGGCCGAGCCGTCGACGCCGCGGGCGCCGATCGGGCCGCCGCCCTCGTCGCCAGCGGCGCTGCGATGCGGCGGCCCCCAGCGCGCGGCGGGCGTGGCCCCGGGGGGCTGGGGGGGGGGGGTGGGCGCCGGGGAACGCGCCCCCTGGCAGGAGCGCGCGCCGAAGCTGGCGCCGCTGGCACCCGCCGAGGTCCACCGATGTCATGGGCTTCGCGAGGCAGACGGGCCTGGGCGCGGAGCAGCGGCGCCCGCCAGTGGGCTACGGGGGGCGCTGACGGCGCCCAGCGCATCATCGACGTGTTCGGCGCGGTCGAGGGCGGCGCGCCATGGCCGTCCAGCCAGTCGGACATCCTGTTCTACAAAGCACCGAAGGCGGAGGTGCCTGAGCCCGCTGCCAGAGGTGGCCAGATTGCGGGGGAGCTGCAAGCGCCCCATCATTGCTATGTGGGAGGCCTGCCGCGAGAGGGACTACGACTGGCCGAGTGCCGGGCGCAGTTGCGAGCGCGGCACTTGGATGCAGCAGCTCTTCTGCGAGACAGCCGCGGCCGACATCGAGAGTTGCGCCATTGCCTTGCCGGGCCTCTTCGTTCAAATGTTTCGAATGCGTGAGCCACTGGAAGTTCTGGGAGGTTTTCCAGTGCTGGGGTTCCCCACGCGCCTGCTGCGCGTGATCCTCCGTATCTACGGGGCGGCCGGGAGGGCGGCGCTGGGGGGCGCGGCCGCCGGGGGCGGGCGCTGGTGGCGGGGCCCCGTGGCGGGCTCGGTCTCCGCCCCAGTCGCCCCCGAGCGGGTGATCATGAAGGAGCTCGACCCAATCCAGCTGGACAAACGCCCCGCGGAGCTGTGCCTGTTCTTCGACGACCTGTCGATTGCGCGCGTGGGCAGGCGCCGCTGGGTTGCAGCTGAGCGCGCGAGAATCGTAAGCATCGCCATCGACCGCCTGGAGAATGAGCTAGGGATGCCAGCCCCCCTGGGCGAGGAGGGAAACAAGCGCCGCTGGCGTCGCCCACGGCGCCGGCCAAGGACACGGGGCCGATGGCCGAAAGGATTGGGGTCAGGACCGCGAGCCACGCCAAGTTCCTGGGCATCGCTGTCTGCGCACGCCGTCGCCGTCGAGCGTCCGTCATGCAAGAGAGAACCCCGAAGTGAAAGAGCCGCGAGAAGAAGGTTGCGGGGGCGAAGATAGCTTGGGGCCAAGCGAACGAGCATGCCACGGCGGCCGCGCCCTCCATCCTCTACGGCGCGAGAGTGGTAGGGGCGCCCGCGTCAACAGTGCAGCAGCTGCGCCGAGCCGTCTCGAGCTCTTTTGGCGGCAGCGTGGTAAGGCGATCAGCGCCTCTTGTTCTGCCTGGCGACGGCGTGGGCCCCGCGCGCGTCGCAAGCTCGGGCCCCGGCGTCGAGTGGGCCAACGCTTGGAATGAAGCAGCGCGCGACCCAGCGCTAGCGGACCGACTCGCGGCCGCCTGGAAGCGTTGGGGCATTCGCCTGTGGCGGCCCCCGCGGCCACGGACATTGGCGCGAGGCCTCGCGGGGGCATTCCTGGCCGCGGCATGCAGGCTAGGCTGGCAATCGCAGGCGTCTTTCCCGCTCGCCATCGGCTCGGTGAGTGCTGACTTGCGCCCGGTCGACGCTTGGTGGCTGAATGGGCAGGTAGTGCAAGAATGCGAGCGGCAGCTCCAGCGAGAGTGAACTCGACGCTGGGGTGCGAAGGCAAGCGCCGCCCGAATCTCCATCGAGCCTACGCGGGCCCTTATGGCCAAACCGGTGTCGAATCCTTGGACATCAGAACACAGGGCTCGGGTTCGCGCGACGCGCGCGGGGGGGATGTGGAATCAGGAGCGCATCTTCGCCGAGGGGGGTGCCCCTAGCAACAAGCGCGCCGCTTGCAGCGGCGATGGGGTCGGGCAAATATAGTTTTTTACTGGCGTCCATCGCGACAGGGCGCGAGACAGCACGCAGGCTGCCCAGGAGCGCAGCAGCTAGGGGCCGCCAGCGCACCCGCAGCTGCAACCGAGTATCGATGGGGTCGAGGCATCGCGCAGGACCCTGGCGCTGCGCTCCCAGACATCGGAATCTCAGATCAAGCCGCGCTGATGGGCGCAACCTCAGACCTTCTCACGGGCGACGTCTGCGT